AGCGCCTGGTATCAGAGAATAGACTAGGTATCAATACCGGATGGCTCTGGGGTCAATTCCTCGATAGCTGCTTATTTTATGCTATGCTATTACTCCCTATTCTGGCAGTATGCGTTTAACATGCTTAGTTGCAAAATTAGCAGTAAATTCAGGTTACACTTCACATACTTAAAAATTCTGAAAGCTGTAAGATTATTCAGCAAACTTCTCTACTTTTCAAAAAGGAAGGCGGTATGTGGAGTTGTAAAGATTTTTGTTAACCTTCAGAGCAGGTGACTACTCTCTCGCAGTCGATTAAATTTTGTAATTGCGACCATTCAGTGATTTTGGTTAATTCGATCATTGTTAGACTGTGACGTTATGTTCATTTTACTAAATGTGCAGTAATGGGTTGGAGTACCTTCAAAACATACATTGCCATTATGAAATGAATTGTGACTTTGCGCCCCTTCATATTAGTATGTACGAATTAAAGCTCTGAACAGTAACCTGTACGTAACTGTATTCCGCCACCCCGTTAGCATGTGACCTAAAGTTAGATAAGCCATCACTTTTATTTGTTGTCTTTAAATGTTGACCTTCATGACGCTTTGTTTTTCTTTGGTTGTTTCACTTGTACTATCTATGATATACCTGGTATCTTGTAATTACAGGTTTTTGCCATCATTATTTGATCAAGTTGTATCTTTTATATTTATATCTACTCTCGCTGGTAGAAGACAGGCATTTTTATTATGCTATTCAAACAGTGATAAAGCAAGGCAAGTAAACATAATAAGGCAATGATCATAATGTTGGTAGGGCATTAACTGCAGTAATACACTTAGACCTTGTTCATAAAGCGAACTTTTTAGCACTACTCTTTCGTCGATTAAAGCAAGGGACAAAGGCGCCGACATTATGGGCAGCGCAAGTGGCGAGAAATCGCACAGTTCAGCGACTCCTATCGAGAGTGGTACGGTTGTGTTTGTTGCCTTCTTTAGCGTTTTTGCATTGAACATAGAAAGTTGCTGATTGATAAAGTTGTAGTCGGTTTCATCTAGAATTATCGGCTTCTGTTTCGTAAAACTCTAGAGGAAGGTAATTGATGAAGATGAAGATTATTAATATAATGCTTAAGATAAATCTGAAACCGAATTTCAGCGAGATCATGTATCACTGATCTGGGCAGATCTGATGCTCTAGCCGCGATGGTATTTGGTAACCTCTATAGGCTATTGATGACTTTGCCGTAATGACTCGCTGATGTCAGTACTGTTGCAGGGCATCGCTGGCAGTTTTTTACTTTTAATTGTACTGTTTGCTCTATCTTGTATAATATTAAACTGTCCAAGAGAGAGTGCGACGTTATTGTGGTGAAGGAATTTTTTATTTGTGACAATACCGAACGACCATATTTCTAATATCCGCTGTTTCATGTTTTAGAAATATTCTTTATATATTTTATTAACTTTCTGCATTAATAATTCATAGAATTTACCTTTCATATGTCCAAATTCACGGTGTAATCACACTTTTTTCCTGCTTTTTGTGGTCTGAGAGATCTTCTTAGCAGATCAAGGTTCCGTGATGTTACAGCATCTGCAACAGAAGGAAGCAAAGTCGAATCACGATATTGGGCTGAATGACACCAAGCTTAAACACCATCTAAAGCACCTTGATGCGCATGTTCATTGATGCACAAAAGTACCTATGATGTTCCGTTATCTAATAAAATATAGTTTTTTATGCAGCCGGATGCGATGACAGCGTGTCATATTGCATCTCCGGATTCATACGGCGTAACCGCACCGTGTTCTTAATTCTAGAGCCACGAGTCTCCATTCAAATTGGGAACGATTCCGTTTTATTATAGCCCGTGCATAGCAAGGGGAAGATGCGATTACGCCATGTATTTCTGCATAAGTGGCACATCTTTGTTATGCCAGCGTGTTGTTGTACTATGCGACTTTGCATTCATGCACTGCAGGTGCTATGATGACATGGAGCTGTGGAGTGCCAAGAAGTCCCGTACGCCTAGGGAAATAGGTTGACAATGCGATTATGCCTGGCGAATTCAGAGGAGCGACACGCACATGTTATTTTAATTATCGGTATCAGAAACTTGCTCACTTAATAAATTCAGAATATCGTAGGCAATTTTGTTTACATATACCGGCTCAATTCAGTTCAACTCAGATTGATTTATTTATGTTAACCAGGTAGTCATCATCAAGCTTATAAGTCCCAACCTTCAATAATGGATGGGAAGGATAACTGTGCAAATGGATCGTCTTTCCTAGTTGGTTCGTGTATCACCTTCAACCGCGGGTAGATAACTTAATTTAAAGCTGGTTTATTTCTGGGTCGCTGTTCATCGAACATCGCATCGATTAAACAAATACGATAAGCTTCTGAAGATCTTGGTGGGTAGCAAATAAGTGTGAGCGTACTTCTGGTGACCTTCAATTTGGTTAACAGTGATAGTTAACAGTGCTGTTGGTTTCTTTTTTAAGGTAAAATTTTATTCACGAAATTTGCGGTACTGTTGACAACTGGTCCATCGAAGAATGCTGCAGTTCTCTCTAGTTTTGATCCGCTGATGTAAATGAGAAGTTTAGACCAACATCTGATCCTTGCGTTTTGTCTTTCTACTAGACTCCCGAAAAATGTTGAAGCCGCGTCTATAAGAACTTGGAGGATGCATGACTTCGCAAGGAGCTATAGTACTCTCTGGTTTACACGAAGTCTTTTTAACTTTCGAAGTAATGAGATCGCGCCCCAAACTTGCCCGCCGTCCTAGCTTAGTGGAAATTTCAGTTCAAAGGTTTGTTGATCGCCAGAGCTAAGTACATAACCTTGCCGGATTGGTTGACACGTTGACCCTGATGCTGATATCTTGATTCACCAACTGGCGCAAGGATTCGCTTCTGACCCAGAAAAATGGAACCAGCAGTCGATTCATTAAGATGCATTTAATATCTTGCTCGAATTCACAGTCCACTGTTGATCCGTTTCACACTGTTCAGAAATTGCTCATCTTACATTGAGGAATGTGCGCCGATGAGAGTATGCTAATATCCTCAGCATATTTGATACAGACTATATGCAGAGTAACAGATTCGACATTCCTTACGATTTTCAAGAAGAAACAGTTGATATTTACGTAATATATCGGGATATGACGAAGGCATGTTGCAGTTACAGAAACTGCTAAACATATCTACATAAAGGAGTATGAAAGCCTCCAGAAAAGTCATGAATTAAACATCGAGCTCATGAAAAAATGAAAGGAAATGAAAATAACTGCAAATCTTAAGTCGATAATCAGATATGTGGAATTTTTTTCAAGAAGAAAATGTATAAAACAAGACACCCGGTCGTTTAACTGCAGATTAGTAAACAAACTATTGAAGTCAGTCGAAGCATCAAGAAATAAAATAAAATTAGCAGTCGGGAAACGACCCATTTTAGATGTCAAAGCAGAGACGTTGCTAACATCATAGACAGACTAAAGATCTTGAACAGAGTGGAAGATTTCTGTAGATAGCTTTACAAAGATCAAGATTGCAACGTCTTAGTTGACTAGAATGAGCTTGTGAATGAAGCGAACGAAATTTATCATATCCAAAAATGCCTCACCTGAAGAACCACCTTCAGTAAAGCGGAGAAAGAGTGGAAGTTTCAGGGCTAAGGAAAGGAAGGGAAAGTTTGTAACCGTTGGAATGGCGTCTTCCTTACACTTTCATGATTGACCAGTTCTAGCACCCTTGTTTTCAAGAAGTTAGTGATAGGGCGCTGATCTACATTGCCGTGCCATTGCTTTAGCACGGAGTGCCTTAGTTTTTTGAAGCACAATCGACAGCAGGTATGTGAAGAACATAATCTGTATTATCTTGTTTCTTTCCATCTTATCGGAGTAGTACTCATTTATCAACCTCGGAAGGAAGAAAGGCTACTGACCTTGACCAGGGCTCGAATCCATGACTTCTCTGTTTAGAGTCTGACTCTCTACCGGTCGAGTAATCCTGGTCTGAAGCAACGTGGGTAAATTTTTTGCTCAGGAATTAATGGTAAAAACAAAGACTGCCAGCCGCGGGAATCGAAATCGACACCTCCAGAGTTCGATTTTGAAGCTGACCTTTTGCGCACTGTGCCGCCACGCCACATGACTAAAAGGGAAGTGTGGTGGAATTGGTGGAATCAGGAGTGAGGTGTTGATTAACCTGTTAGTGCACTTTTGTTTATGCTGTTTGAAGGAATATTCCAGACGAATATCCATGATTTAGCTATGCAAAAGAGGAGAGAAACCGGTTCAGTAAAGCAACAACCTAATCAGTTTCTTAGCTGTCATCTACAAGATCTTCATGAAGATACTGACAAATATTCAGGAAATGCTATATTTTGCAGAGCTAGAGGAGCAAGCAGGAGTCAGATGAGGATTAAGTACAGTGGATAATCTTCAGGTTTTGCAGCAAATAATTCATACAAGCAACGAATATCAGCCTTACCTCAGCATGCGGCTCATCGATTTCGAGAAATCATTCGACTCAATCTATATCTAAACTTTATTAGATGCTCTGAAGAGCCTGAAAACCAATGAAAGGTACAAAGACGCCACCGCTGTCATCTACAAAAATGCGACGGCAAGCTTTTTTAAGAAAACATTCAGAATCGACAAAGGCGACAGGGTGGTGCTGTATTCACTGAAATTATTCATATGTTAGAAAACGCAAGAATACGTTTTCACGCCGTTTGAAAAATCAGGCACTGCAGATAAATGACCATTAATTATTCCATTTGCAGTTGCGGACGATATTCTGATTTTCTCAAGGTTGCCACAAGGACTGCAAGGAATAAAACAAATCTGAACGACGCCAGTTTCAAAGCAGAAAGTGAACCGAAAGAAGCTTTAGGCTATGTTCAACGAATATGTGATCCCACAGCCTGTTAAATGATGCGTTAATGCTTGAAAAAGGTCAAATCCGGGTTCGTGTGGAACAGCTGTTCTCTGCAACAGAACTAATTGTGCAGAGTCAGTAGAAGAGTTAAATTGGTATGGAGCACTTTTGGAAGATTGAAACTTTTCTCTCTGGAAAACTGTTTTTGTGCATAAAGCGGAGAGTCTTTTATCAGTGCTTTCTCAAAGTACTAACATATGAATCCAAAACATAGATCTTAAGTACTAAAGTGCTTACAAACTACACAACACAGCATGAGAAACTACGCTTGGAGTGCCAAAAAGAAGTAAGGAAACGAAGGAATGGGTTAGAGAACAAATCAGCTCTTCGATGTTAGTGTAAGAGAAGAAGTTGAAGCCGCCGTGGATAGGACAGATTGCAAGATGAACAGGCCATCGCCGGATCACAGACAAATTGATTGTCTGAAAAGGTAGTAAGCGGTTCGTGGGCAGATCTCTAGATTGATTACAAGCTTAGTTGAAGAAGCTGTTTTTGAGAGAACGCGAACAATATCTGCAGATGACAAGACTTTGTCGCCAATTCTTCCACGGGCCTTCATCCAGCAATGGATCAAAAATAGCTGATGATAATACAGAACAGGACATTTTAATTGGTGGTCAAACATTTTTTCAGCCCAATACAGTAATTTGGCTTTGTTTCCATGTGCTGAATGCAAATGTTATAATACCAGGAATTAT